GTCGCTCACCCTCTCCACTCTGCATTAATGACTGCGAAGTCTTCCCGTCCCACGCCCTCGAGGCTTCCAGCATATGACTAGCCACACATCGGCATATCAGCACTCGGTACTCCCATTCCTAGCACGCTACCTCACGTACGAAGAAGCGGAAACGGAGAAGTTGAAAGCCGATCTGTCTCTATAGTTGATATGAATGTCGTGAAAAACTTGATTTGTGAGTATTACATGACCTTTTACATTTGACTTTTTAAAATGACCCTTTATTTACCTTATCATCTGCCCTCCGTGAATGGAGCCATTTTTGCTGAAAATTCCGGTTTGTAAAATCCTCAATGTAGCATTCTTCTTCAAAAAAAACATTGTCGAGCAAGAAGAACTTCCGCAAAAGAAGTCTGATCTTGTAATTCGTAAGGTTAATAAAAAACACTTTTTTAAGAGTTTACCTCCTTAAAAAGCGCTTGAGTTGGATATTCAGCTGACGAATTTCTATGCAAATTAAATTTCTCCAAGGTAATTTCAAAATGAAAATAGAGAATTTTAACAAGCTTTTTGTACTTTTCTCGAAGATAAATGATTCAATTTGACTGGGAATGAAAGAACTTACTTTCCTTCTTCTATTGGATTATCTTTTGCCATCGTGGATTATTTTCAGGCTCTGTTTTAGGCTTGCAAATGCAACGAAGTATGACCATACCTACAAGATACTTAAGATCTGTTCCGTGTCTAAATAAGTCATAAGCTGAAAGAAAAGTGTAAAAGAAGTATATTTCTACATGACCTACATTTAATAAGGCCTGTTTCACGCTAACACACATGAACACTTTGTTTATGTGCCATCCGGGTGATGCGGTGAACCAAAGTGCGACCGAAACGTTTTTCTCACTGCATTATGTAGAGAACACTTCACAACTTAGCTAATCATAATTTTTGAATCATAGGTTATTCCTTGTCTCTGAAAATAAATGCGATTCCTGTAACCTGGCCTCACTTGTATCCGAACAATGTCGGAAACATTTTCCGGTTCTGGAAGGGATATCTATTTTAGCTTTTTTACTTATTTTGGAGTTCTTCCATAGCACAATATATATAAATAAAAAAGTTTGTTACAATCATACTTAATAGCATAGGAATTTCCGTCGATGTGAGGCTACTGCCAATTTCGCCAACATTAATGTACATTTCCCTAAGTAAGCTTAACTAAAAGGACGATTTTATTAAATAAATGCTTTCGCAGGATTAAATTTAGTCAGTTGATGAAAAAAACGTGACCAGATTTATGCTAAAACACCAATTCAAATTTCATCATGACTTTTACTCGCAGCCCTCGCCATGCTGTACAGTAGTTGGTCTAATAAGTGGAATTCAATGATTTTTACAGAAACCTCTCTGCTTCGCAAACGCGGTCCAAGCTGTGCCCCCCAAAGTCTTACAGTAATAAAGTAATGGTCGGTCTTCAATATAGGGCACATTGCAATTTACAAAGTAATACAACGTCGCTTAGATATACAATCTTTTTTAGCAGAACGGAACTGTCCGAAGAAAGTGAAAGTCGTGCATACTAGATTAACTTAATTTTAAAGGTAGAGGAAGACTTTTCACGCAAAACAACAAGTGAAGATAGCAGCAAAAGTAGAATTACGTTGAAATATGATCCTTTTGTAAATTTTTGGATACATACGCTTCCATATCAGGTAGAATGTAATGTATGGCTGTCACCAAACAGCCCAAAGTTCGAGTATTTATTCCAACACTGTTTCACAAGTATTACGATTCATTTCTTCCGTTTGTACATTGCTTGAGTACGTTGGACTAAGGCAACCATGTTTTCGCTTGATATAGCCCATTGGGAGATCACAGGAGTAATATGTTTTGTAAGCGCACGTGCGGAAATGCCGGTCAGTGACTAATAAATTTAAATGGAATTGTCAGGTGCAATTGCAAACGTACCGTTTTTTACACTAAAATTTAATCGCCTTTCACCACATTTCTTTATAATTGTTTTGATATTTAAGTTATGAAGAGCTTCAGATCGTTCTTGAAATGGCGATGAAAACTTTACGATTTGCATTGGCTTCAGTCGATTGGCCATAAGAAAGTAGTATATTCTACGTGCTTGCCAAAACCTTCAAAATATGATATTTCTTCAAATAATTATCCCTAACTAAAGAGCTTTTAAACATTATTTTTTAAGCAACTGTCTGTTTGGGTCATGGTTTTAGAATCCCTAAAACATGCCAACTCATTGCCGAGAAAAACGAGCTTCCACAAAACAAGTCGCGAATGTATGTTTCTAAGAGTAATTTAAATTATTTCTTGAAAATGTTGCTTTAATTTGATATTTCGGCGTCGAAAATTTGTATATTTTGCCTGTTTTGAAGATTAAGTCAAGACCAATATGGAGCATTTTGGCCAATTTTTTGACTTTGTTCAAAAGTAGTGATAAGTCCTTTGCTGCAAATGAAAGAAACGCACTTGTATATACATACCGGAGCAGTTTTTAGTATGTTTACTCACTTTTTTGCTCGGCTGTAAGATAAAAAACAGAGAAGATTGGCAGAATAATAAGGAATAAATAATACTTTTCTGCTTCAAAATTTTCAATTAATTCATTATGCTCTGTAGACAGAAAATGTTACGCTACCTTTTTGCATACAGCTTCACAAATAAAATTGACGGCGTGGCTAGGTTGTTTGCATGTCTGCTTTTTCATGCTGTTCCGTTCGGTGGGTTAAACAAATTGCAGCTTTATAAGATTACTACTGGTAATTTTGAAAAGCTTTTTTAAAAGTGTTCATATTTTAGAAGTTAGTTGGCTTTCTGGTCCGCAACTGACTCCTTTATTATTGGTCGCCCGCATCCTCGCCGCGCGCCTCGCCGGACACAATATGGAACCGTGATGTGTTTGTACTGCAGGCCAGAGAACCACGAATTAGGCGGTTAATGGCTCAAGCGATATTCAGCCCTTGCGGAAATTTCGTACAAATCACTATTTTATGTGTGCTTTGAACATAGGGCACAGTATTCTGAGTGCTGCATGCAAAAGTAATGACGAAATTAGAATTGGTGTGTAAGCATTTATTTTGGTCACGTAATATTGATCCAATGAGTAAATTTAATCCTGCGAAAGCTTTCTGGTTAGGAAAATCCTCCTTTTAGTTAAGTTTATTCAGGGAAATGCGCATTAATTTTGGCGAAGTTGGCAGTATCTCACATCAGAAGAATTTCCTATGCTAATAAGTACGACAGTACAGAATATTTCATCAATATACACCATGCTATGGAAGAAATCCGCAATAAGCAGAAATGTTATAAATAATATCCCTTCTAGAACCGGAAACTGCTGTCCAAAATTGTTCAGATGCAAGTCAGGCCAAGTTTAAGGTGTCGCATTTATTTACAGAATAAAGTAATAACTTAAGTTTTAAAAATTATGTTTAGATGAACGCAAGTTTTTTTCCAAATAAAGGCAGTAAGAAAGATGGTTTGATCGCACTTTGGTTTACCACATCGCCCGGATGGCACGTGAGCAATGTGTCCATATACGTTTAATTGAAGCTAAGGTTAGACAGGCCTTATTAAATGTAAGTCATGGAGTAATATACTTCTTTCTACATTATAATTTCCGCTTATGCGTAATTTTGAACCGGGACAGAGAGAAGAATAATTATTATGGAAATACCTTATTGTAGATATGACCATACTTTTTGCATTCGCAGTCTAAGACTTGCTAATCGGTATTGACTCAGGTTGTGATACTGATTATCATGTAGTCTATTCTGAAGTTTATTCTGTCATGATAGGATACGGGCTTTTTAACGAGCTTCCTTTTGACCACCACCAAAAAGTATCTATTGTAAAAACTGGCTACTTATGTATCATGCCTTTTAATCATTGATTTTGACTGCCTTTATAAATTCAAATATACTTTATGGAAAACATGCACGTAAAAATTATTTCTTGTACTCGTTTGATAGAAAAATTACGCTTTCTTTAAATTTTATACTCACAAAAAGGGTAGCTTTCGGTTATAAAAAAAGTTGCTCAATTGCCGAATAATTTTCTAACCTAGTGACTGCTACACTCGAATTCAAGTTTGAAACACTGCGCACTGTGTACATCCTGTTTGAGGAAAGGTACGTTTTCGCCTTCTGTTTCAGGAAGAAGTCACACAGTTTTCATAAAATATTGAAATGGGTGTGGAACATATTTTATGCAGTATAGGCAGCATTTAAAAATTGGCGTCTGCTGTACTAAAAATAAACTAGCAGTTCAGATACTGCTGTTGGACCTCGCGAGTTAGCCGCAAGCCACAAAATGGCAGATTGAGTCCCGTAACTTTTCGGAATGGCCAGCAAACGCGTTGTGCAATAGTAGAATGCTAAACTCAATGACCAAAGGTTCAGCGTTCGAATCCCGGATGATCCACACCTGGGACTGGATATGCCTGGATGATGACGGCTAGAAGGCCGTGTACTTATTCCGGTCGCATAAAGCACGTTTCGACTCTTTTTAGCCTAGACCTAAAATAACCACCATAGAAAAAACAGAGCCACACTGCCATGTGCCAAATGTTTATTTTTCACATAACCCACAACCGAGTAAAGAGATCTGAACGGCGCCGACACCCCTATTTTTTAATGATAAAAGGGCTGCATATTTCCTCGCACTTTTCCTTGCTTTTGAAGTGACTAGCGTTGCCACCGGGTTCGGAGTAGTTGAACGGCACACATTCTCTCGGCTTGTAGGCCCACATTGTGCGAGGCTTTGAGCCCTCACCCGAATCGATCGGCCAGAAACAATCACCCAGCTCGATGCCTACATGAGATAAATACAAAAATAAATGTTGTATGTGCAAAGGTTTGAGGTCCTTTTCATCATCTTCCATGGAGGACGAAGAAGGTATCAGGACATAGACAGGAGTATATTGAGAACGACGTTTCGGACACTCGTTTGGTTCCATCGTCAGAGTAAAGCGGTGATTGTTCCTGTTTGCCGGGACTGTTGCAGCCTTGCTGCACGCCGGGTATTATATCCATGCTTGAAGCACAAACCTTGACCTGCTTGAGTTCATGTAGAACGCTGCCTCACCGCTGCGCCCATGAAGTTGACATGAACTCACGCGGGCAGCAAAAAGTGATTAGTCCGTTGATGGGCGAGCACGCTGACTTGCTAACAATTACGACAACCGCAAAGGCTAAAAAGGTCACACAAGCCCCTTCGCAGTCAATCTCACGGACAGTCAGCAGCGAACAAGCAGGTTAAAGTTCGTGCGTCGAGCACGGATATAATATCCGGCATGCAGTAAGGCTGACATAGTCCCGGTAAATAGGAACAATCACCACCTTACCCTGACGATGGAAATAAGCGAGTGACCGAAAGGTCAGTCTCAATATAATTCGGTCAATGTCCTTGTACTTTCCTTTTCGTCTTCGTTAGGGGATGATGAAAACGAAAAACTAAATGTGTAAACAGGTAAAAACAGAAGGATCTGTAAAGTTCAAGTTTATTCTATGCTTTGGTTTAAGGATATGTGCATGCAAAAAAGGAGAAAGAAGCATTCTACTCACTCGTCACTTGTACCACTGAAAGAAGCCAGACAATGAAGGGGAGGGCAATCATGGTGGGCGTGATCTCTGCCACTCAATACTTCGTATATATATATATATATGCGGACAAATTTGTTGACGTTTGCTGTACGGGTGCGCACGCAATTTTTTCATTAGCTGTGGCGAACACGGAACTCTTTAGAGAGGGCCCGCATACAATTAACCAGAAAAAAAGCAGATAAGAAGATGGCTCGTTGCTCGTTGTCCAGGGATTAATTATGTCCCATAAAGAACAAGACACCTAGTGTGACCACCCAAGCTCGATCGAATACAGGCAATTATA